AGTCTGGTGCTATCCCAAGGAGAAAATCGAAACCACCAACGCTATGTACGCGAAACACGGTCTAGTCTTCACTTTTTCCAACACAGGGGCTCGCCTCCCAGAAATCGAGAAACGCAAATGGATCACGAGAACTGTGCAGGGGCACGAAAATCTCGGATCCAGCACTGACAAATTCTCCATCCTGGTGGTCAGCAAAAACATGATGATTGTGGTATTCAAAGACGCCGACCAAGCATCAAACTTGATCAACAGACACACCACACTGAACTGCAACGGATCAGTGTCACGCTGGAAACAAGAGACAGCACAGAAAGCAATGATCTCCCCGGCAACGGCGCAAAAACAGCGACTCATGAGGGATCAATTATGGGTCCAGTTTGATAACATCCCGATCAGAGGGCATCCACTGATCAAGGACAGATTGGAAGTGGAGTGCCCAAACAACAAAGTGTTGAAATGGGTACTTCCAACCCCGGAGTTTTTGGCCCCACACTGTGACTCTATCACAGCTGTTTTGGAAGTAAACACGGATTCGAATCCTGAATTCCCGGAAGAATGGGAATTCTGCATAGGGGAGGAGGCATCCTCGGTCACAGTCTCAACGAAAGATGCCCCCATSTGCTTCAGGTGCAGAGAGAGAGGGCACYTGGGCACTGACCCRGCGTGCCCCAGATCCCCCGAACACTCCAAAGAGAAAAAGCTAAGACARAACATGCTGGTGGAAGTCGAAGAGGCAAAGGGGATATGGTTCGTCAACGACCAGGATTACAACGGATGGGTCTTCGACGACACCATCGACGATCCGAAATGGATCTGGACTTACAACACGAACCCGTCAACGAAACAGCCAGACATTTTCCCGCCCCAGATAGCAGATGGCACGCAGTAGGAGCAAAGAAAGTAACAGGTATCCCAGGCAAAATTCACAAGGATCAGATCATCGACCCACGGGCGATCAGGGAAGAGAAGAAACACGAAGATCTGTTGTGGGACATGGAGACAATCAGGACAAAGATAGCGGAAACGTGCCAGAACACTAACCCGGACAACAACACCCTGCTGCAGGAAGCAAAACAAACCCTTGAACACCGCCACCCCAAACCAGAGCTCCCCCCTGCACTCAAGCAGAACGCCTCTCCCTCCGCCAAAATCTGTCATGAGGACAGGGCAGGAAAGAAGAGGAGGGCAACAGAGGGGAGCACAGGTAAGATGCTCAGACCTGAGCACTCCCCCACGGATGATGTCCCACCCGGAACAGACCCGATCTTACCAGCAGAAACCAGAACAAGAATGGACATCTCAGCTATGGACACTTCACAAAACAAAGCGAGCCCCATTCCCTAGCTCGAAGAATACCTGCAGAAAGCAAAATATGAGAGGGAAAAAGAGTTCGACATCAGGCTGGCATGCATGAAACACTTGGAAAAGTCAGGGAAGCCAGCCACCGGAAAAACAGTGGCCAGAATTCCGCAGTCCAAGATGCTGCGCATGAACTCCAAACTCTCGGAATTGAGCGCATTCAGGTATTTCAAAAAAAAGAGGGAAAGAGAATCTGCTGGAGCAGAAAGTGGCTCAGGCTTCGACCCCCAGACATCAGCGAACTCGATCTGCGACATGGTTTCCAAAAACTGGAAACCATCGAAGGGAAGGGACAAGAGACCAAGGGGGCCCCCCAAGGACGAAGCTGGCAGCAAGAACGAACAACGTAGACTCAAGCAGGAGATTGCAACAGTCGCAGCTCAAACGAAGAGACTGTTCGACCAGAACCAGGACTACAAAAGGGAGCAAGGCGAGAAGTTTGTCACAGTCCGCATGATCGCAGAGAACAAGGCGCCCTGTGTGCCCAAAGCAGCGATTACTGATAGGGGATCCATCAAGGCAGTAAGACCGTTGCTTCCAGTGCGGTACAGGAGCAAATTCAATGAGTGGCAGGTGGCCACAGACGCAAAATTCACAATCCCACGACGACAAAGCCCTGGCCAAGAGCATCAGGGACAACATCTCAACGGAGACTCCGATGGGCGTGTACGGGGTCCCACCACGCGAACAGACAGCCGAAGGGAAGACGCTGGAAGAACCAATCTTCACCCCCTTCGACCCCATCCTGGTCAAGCTCGACGAGAGGGCAAAACTCTGCGAAGGCCTGACCTGGAGGGCATGGCACACAATCACAATGCTGCCGTACAATGTGCTGAACGGGAGGTTCAGCACGACCGACATCATTGCAGATTCGCTGGCGGACATCATCAGGATCCGACTATTGACCTCCAAGACCTCGCTGCAGGACGAGGCAACTCCCATCGATGTGGACATGGGAAGGGAAGATTCTGACATGGAGGACGAGGACGACGTAGAGAGGGAAGAGGACAACAAGATCTCCCCAGGGGGAGACAACGATGAGCCTCCAACGAAGTCGGAGAGCAACGTTGGGGAGTACGGCCTGAGCTCCTCAGCAGCAAGCGAGGACAACAGGGACTCCGACACCGACAGCAGCAAGACCCAGGCAACTGTGGACTGAATCAACTTACCATAGTAGAATTACAACCCCACCCCACAAACTAACGAAATCACAGCACCAAGAACCAAACGAAAAAAAAAAAAAAAAAAAAAAAAAAAAAAAAAAAAAAAAAAAAAAAAAAAAAAAAAAAAAAAAAAAAAAAAAAAAAAAAGGGGAACAGCAATAGGAAGTAATGCAGAATTCCACAGCAATTAGGAACAGGCAGACTAGCCCAACCAGAATAAACTGGCACGCTAAGGGGCTTCAGATAATCAACTGGAACATCAATGGTCTTGGGAACATTCTGACCAACGAAGACAAGCTCAGAGAAATCCGGACAGGCATGGTGGGGAAAGACATCCCCAAACCCGACCTCATACTCCTCCAAGAGACACATCTTTCCAACCTGAATAGTCACCCGAGGATACAGCAGAAGATGGAGAGAGCTATAGGAGGATGTGCAGTCGCAATATGGTCCAACAGAGACGGCCAAAGCAATAGAGGGACAGCGATATTGATCCCAAAAACGTCAAAAATCCTGACCGAAGGTCAGATCCTTAGCAGCGAGGGGGATAGAGAGGAAGGGAGATGGTCGTGGATGGACATTAAGTGGCAAGGTGAGGATCTGCGAATTCTCAACCTGTACGGACCCAACACGGAAGTCGACAGACTGATCTTCTTTGAAAATATTAAACCCCTCATCCCCAACCCACAGCCAGTAATCATTGCAGGAGACTGGAACACAACCCTGGACCCGAACCTGGATCGGATCTCAAGAACGGTACTAATGGGACCCACTAGAGCGGGCACCAGGATTCGAAACCTGATGACCGAATTCGAACTCTGCGACCCCCTCAGGGCACTGCACTTGGACAAGAGAATTTTCTCCCGGATAAGGAGAAACCAAGCCAATCGGACCTCGCTGTCCAGGATCGACTACTTCCTCATATCCGAGAGCCTCCTAGGGACCGTCAAAGAGGCCGAAATCCTCCCATCAGCAGCCTTCAAAGGATTGGACCATAAACCCATCCAGATGCTGCTCAATTTCAATGTACCAGTTCAAACAGGACAAGGTTTCTTCAAGCTTAATAACTCACTATTAAAAACCGAAAGAATGAAGACGACAGTCCAAGAACACTGGGCTATCAATAAGCAGCGAGAATCAAGGAGAAAAAGTAGTCACCAGTGGTTCATCGATAGCTACACAGATTTAACACGAACAGTATCAGCGGAATCTAGAGATATTGCTAGAGACCGAAAAAGAAGAAGGGAAGAACTCCAATTCGCAATGGCCGTCGCTGAAGAAAATCTGGTGGAGGACCCAACTAGCAGTTTCTACCAAGAACTACTAGACGACACCAAGGAGGAACTAAACGAATGGAGAAGATGGGAAMTCRGAGGTTTACAAATACGGGCGAGGATGACAGACTATGCACTTAACGAGTCAATGACAAAATTCTTCTTCTCCAAAATCAAGGCGAACGCCAGGAACAACATGATCGAGGCACTTATAGACCCATCGGACTCTGGGAGCACAAAAACAACAAGCCCGGAGATGGTAGGGATAGCCAGAGCCTTCTACGCAGATCTGTACGAATCCAAGACCCCCTCACCCCCGACAACAGCAAACCTAGCAGCCCGCCAGGCGATGCTATCATACCTCGACAGAACCATCTCAACCAATCAGGCGGAAGGCCTGGACAGACCACTGACCCTGGCCGAACTGCACACAGCCTTGAACCAGATGGGAAATGACAAAGCCCCGGGCATCGACGGCCTCTCAAAGGAATTCTCGAGCTGCTTCTGGCCGGCACTGGGGGAGGACCTACTCGACTTCTTTAACGAAAGTATGCACAAAGGAGGCCTAGGCAAGGAGCTGAGCACCAGCATAGTCTCACTGCTTTACAAAAAGGGAGACAAAGAAGACATGAAAAACTACAGACCTATTTCCCTACTAACCACTCCATACAAAATCCTAGCCAAGGCGCTTGCAAACAGAATCACCAAACTAACGAACAGTTGCTTCCATATCGATCAAGCAGGCTTCATCCCAGGTCGTTACATATTAGACAATGTGATGACCCTGAATGAAGCAGCAAAAAAGATCATGGAGAAACGAATGAAGGCAGCAATCCTATTCTTCGACTTCGAGAAAGCCTACGACCAAGTTAACTGGGATTTTCTACACGCATGCATGGAAAAAATGGGGGTAGGCCCGAACTTTAGAAGTTGGGTTAGAATTCTGTACGCAGATGCAACAGGAAGAGTCCAGGTCAATAGAATCCTATCAGAAACCTACCCAATCTCACGGTCAGTCAGACAAGGCGACCCACTGGCTCCTCTCATTTTTCTTTTCATAATGGAAGCCATAGCCTCATTTCTCCACAAAGACCCATCCATCGACCGCCTCACAGAACGGAACTTCAATCCGTTACACGACTTCGCCCTACCCACTGCACTCATGTTTGCTGACGACCTTACGGTACTCATTAGAGCTAATAACAACTCCTTCCAATCACTGGTAAGGGCAATGGAAGCATTCAGACTGGCTTCAGAAATGAGGGTCAATTGGAACAAAACCGAAGGCTGGTGGTTAGCAGAGGGCACCCCTCCCCAACCGCCGGACACAACCACACCCATGAATTGGACCACGGGAGAACAAGCACTACGGTTCCTGGGCATCATGGTTAACAAAGAAGGGGTCTGGCCGGGAATGGGCCAGAATCTGATAGCAAGAGCAATCACCCGCCTGGCCCTGTGCAAAAATGTGCAGGCCTCACTAATCGGACGGGCACTTCTTATCAACACTGCGATCTTCTCTACACTGTGGTACATGGCATCAATCTGGTCCCCCCCCCGACGACGACCTCAAGGAGCTCAAGAACAGGATGAGGTGCTACCTGTGGACAGGTGACCCAAACAGAACCACCTGCATCAACAGGGTTGCATGGAATTACATCACCAGGAAGCCACAAGAAGGGGGCCTTGGAATAATCGACCCAAAACAGGAATCCATAGCTCTGCAGATGAAATGGATAATCAAGATTCTCACAAGGCAATCCCTCCCGTGGACCCAAATGGCGCTAGACAGCATCAGAAATTTAGCTCCCATCAACTCCCCTATAAATATGAACGGTCTGTTCTGGATTATGGCAAAAGAATGGACAATCAAATCCGGCAGACCACGCAGAAGAAACCCCACGCAGCACATGCCTGCACAGCCCGTGACAAACCCAACGCACGCAGTCAGCAAATATTGGAGCCCCACCATCAAAGCATGGCGATGCCGAACAAACATGGGGCACCAAGCAACAGAGAAGAAGTCCTGAGACAACCGCTTTTCTGCAACCCTTGGATCACCGACCCCAGCGGAACATCCTGGACCCTACGCTCTCGAGACCGAAGATGGTTGTCGTGGGTAGAAAAAGGAGTTTGGCAGGTCAAGCACATCTGGAACGAAGATCAAGGACGGTGGACCACGGATCAGGAACTACGCTCCACACTAAAAGGTTGCCACGCCCTCTCCGATAACCTAACACTGATCCAAAATAGCATCCCAACACAATGGCTCCCCCTCCTAAGGGAGGAATTCTCGTGGAAGTCCAGGGACTGGGGCATACTAGTCTCCCAAGCTCAGCCCACCGGGGCATACAGATTCGTTGCTAGAACAGACCCACCCGGCTACCTATCCAGATTCCATTCCTACCCGGTAGCGAAACACAACACACATGAAATGGAAGTTCATATCAACGACCCCCAGAGCGAGATGCGGGAGACTTTCCGATTGAGAAAAGTTAGGGTTTCAAAATCCAAACCCTGTATAATCTTCCGACCGGATCTCTGCATCTCAGAGCTAGAATTTGACCCGAAAGAATGGATATGGAAACAGGGAAACACAGGGAGGACGAGAACAATAACAGAATACGACGTCAAATTCRGCTATGATCTAGGCCTACAGACCAYAGACCCAGACCCCAGACTAAAAGATAAATGGAGGACCATACTGAGTCTGGACCCCTCGACCCCCATAACCATCCCGTGGACCAAATTCCTAACCATTAGACCGGCCAGGATTCGAAGCATGCAATGGCTCTTAGCTCACGCCTCCCTGCCAACCAATCAGTGGCTCCACAAGAGAAGAAAACACACAGACCCCGATAGCACCGAGATCTGCAGACTGTGCACGGACAACGCTGTGGAGGACACACTCCACTGCCTCTTGTACTGCACAGAGGCAACATGGATCTGGAATAAAGTGCGCAGGCTATGGACCACTCTGTTCTCAGCACCCCCCCCGGCCACAACCCCCCTGAACATCCTGCTCCTTTCTAACGACACTAACAATTTCAGAGGTGGCAAGGATGTATGGTTCCACCTTCTCAGATAGTTGGCGCCTTGGGTAATCTGGAAGAGGAGATGCTCCAAGACGATCGAAGGAACAGAGATGCCAAGAGAGGAAATGTGGGTCTTATTGCTGAGAATGGCGGAAACAGAGATTCGCTCCAGATGGCGAGAACTATCCATGACGACGAAAGGCAGACCAGAAAGGACAGCCTCAAAGAGACGAAAATTCATAAGAGACTGGCTCATACAGGGAAAGATCGCCACAGTGGTGGATAACAGAATGGTGTGGAAGAAGTGGCACAACACAAGAACAGGGCACCAGTGAAGAACCAACTGAGATTTTAATCTCAACAGCCTAGACAACTCTCCCCCTTTTCTTGCTTTTTACGTAGTATCTGGCAGAGTCAGTACAGATTTGAGAGGAAAAGAGGTAGGGCAAGCTGACAGTCAATCCTCCTGACAAGGAGCAATCAATGCTGGTCAGGGTTCCTTCGGCCAGACGGAAGGAAGCGTGAGGGTGTTCACCATGTATTTCATTCTTGACTTGCCGGTGGTAAGGAACCGGACTGACGCTCCCCAGAATGGATACGGAGCCAGGACCATAAGGACCTGTT